GTAGGAGTTTGCACAATGTCCAACAGACGTCAAGTTTCTCTATTTCTCTCAACAATTTTAACTGTGTTGTGGTGTCGCTTGTGAATTTGTTGTGACGGCTCACTTCCAGTCCACCTCCGTGCAGTTCAAAGCAAAGGGATCAGGACGATGGAACCCTAGACACACTGAAATGAACTGAAGTGTAGGTGTTTATAATGGCCTGACACCCATGGCTCTGTAGAACTATAATTAAGTCTGAAAGTCCAGTACTCAAGAGCCCATTTATTTCTTCTCAGGTACTTGAGATAATGTCCTCAGAAGCATTTGGGAAATTCTGATGGGCTGTACCAAGGGTAACCACAGAACTGACCAGTGAAGGAGCTGGCCAGTAGAATGTAAGCTCCAAGAGGCCAGAGAGTTTTGTGTTCTCGATACGGAGAAGAGTGCCTGGGATGTAATTGGGCCTTAATAAATATTGAAATTTATGAATGAAAAAAAGAAGACTCATTGACATTTTGAATTCTTGGTGTTTTTAATAGAACTGTAGGGTTGGCTTGGGTTTCACGCTTTTCTCTGTTCTCTTAACAAGGTCAGTGACCTTCCAAATAAACCATAAGTCATAATGCAGTTATAGAATATACAAAGTCTGTCCAGAAAAAGTCCAGGCATTGCTAATATAAGGAGAATGGTTTGCTCAACATCGATGTAACCTGGCAGCAAAGGGGAATGGACTTGAACAATGATGACTTCACTGTACTAGTCAGGGGGTGGTAGACGCCATTAAGTAAATGTATGTGTGGCTGTCACATTTAAAATGACTGAGTAGAGCAACAGATCTGCATCAAATTTTGCGTTAAACCTGAATGTTCCTCTGCAGAAACTATGTGGGTGATTCAGAAGGCCACAGCTATGGGCAGCTGGTGATTGGCAGCTTCATCATGACAATATCTCATGCAGAGTTTTTTGGTGAAACATCAAATCACCGAGGTGACTCAGCCTCGCTACAGACCAGATTTGGCACCCTGCTACTTCTGGCTTTTCCCAAAACTAAAGTCATGTTTGAACGGGAAGAGATTTCAGACCATCAATGAGATTGAGGAAGACACAGTGGGGCAGCTGGTGGCAATTGGAAGAACTATATGAGGTCCCAAGGTGCCTACTTTGAAGGGGACTGAAGCATCATTGTCCTATATTCAACATTGCTTATATCTTATATCTTCTTCAATAAATATCTCTATTTTTCACATTACATGGCTGGATACCTTCTGGATGGACCTCGTATATGTAAAAGTGCCTAGTACGTAGAGGTGCTCAGTAAATGGTTAATTTAACGTTTTATAGGGAGGCAAAGTTTGGTAGTGGGAAGAATATAAAATTTTAAGTAAGACTAATCTGGATTTGAACTGACTTTTGAATTTGGATGTACAATCACCAAATTTCTCTGGGTCTCAGTGTTTTCCTATGTAATATGGGAATAAACATAATATACAAGGTTGTTACAAGGACTTAATGAGAAAATATCTGTAAAGCACTTAACGCAATGCCTGCAACAAGGAAGTGTAGGCAGGACTATTATCCTAATATGTAATTTTCTCTTTATGTGGCTTATCTCATTCCTCTGAAGGCAAGTTGTAGGACATATGAGTAGACCGTACATTGTATACACCAAGCACGTGCTGCCTCAGCACCTTTGCGCTGGCCTGGAACGCTCTTCCCGTGGACATCCACTGCCTACCAGTCAGTCTGCTCAAATTCACCTTCGTAATAGGGCCTGGACAGAATGAATGGCCCGCTTGTAATTGCACACCTCCATCTCCCTTAGCCTACTCAGATTCTCCCCCAACACCTTAAAGTAGGACTAATCTGGACTATCACCTTCTAACATCCTGCTTTCGATGTCCTTTATTTTCTTTTGCCCTCACAAGAACATGAACAACAGGAACAGGGATTTTCATTTGTTGTTCACCAACACCACCGTGTTTAGATCAGGGCCTGACATAGTTAGGCACTCAGTATTTGTCAAACTTGAATTGATTTGAATATATTCTTACTGAATTTTATACATTTTAGCTTGGGCCCATGTTTGAGTTTGTCAGCACAGTTCTGAGAAATGATTACCTGCTTTTCTGCTGACTCCGTAAGTGTGGCCCATCATCCCCATTCCCTGCGAGCAGCCCGCACGAGACAGGACCTGGAGTCAGCCCAGTCCATCGCCAGCTGTGTGAACCGTGGCAATTTACTTAGCCCCTCTGTGTCTCAGTTGCATCATCTATAAATGGGGATAAAAACCATCCCTACTCCCTAAAAATGTTTTTTTCCCAATTTTTTTTATTTTAATCATTGTTCAAGTATAGTTTTCTGCCCTTTACTCCCATTCCAGCCCACCCACCCATCCCTCCCCACCTCCCTCCCATTCCCCACCCCCTAGTTTTTGTCTGTGTGCCCTTTACATTTGTTCCTGTAAACCCTTCCCATTCTCCCCTGAAATTCCCTCCCTCTCCCCTCTGGTCACTGTCAGCAGATCCAATGACTTAATGTGCATGAAGTGCCTACAGCAGTGCCCGGCACATAGTCAATAAACACTGGCTACTGTGGTTCTGTGTACAGACAAGTCCAGCGCCCTCCCCTTTGGTCTGGCTCTGCTTCTCCGTTCTCCCCTGCTTTGTACTCCTCCTCTCCCGACTGGCCCGTTCTGTTAGCTCCCTCCTCCTAACCATCACATCTGAAATGGGTGAGGTCTCTTCAGCTTCCACTCCATTTCCTCCACTAACTTTTTTTAAAGCGTTTGCCGTTAGGCCCAAACTGCTTCTAAAAGCTCCAGGTAACTCCCTGATTAACATGTGCCACTAAAGCTTTCATGTTTTAACCATGTGATTCTAAGATAAATCCTTGTGGGAACAACAGGGGAAATTTTCTCACAAGTTGCTTTACTTGACCTCAATCCAGAACTACAGTCAAACCTCGGTTCTCGACTGTCTTGGTTCTCAGACAATTTGGTTCTCAACTAAGTTGCTCATGGGAAAAATGCCTCTGTTGTTCAACAAAACTTCAGGTGTTGATTCTCTACCTGACAGCCCTTTCATGCTGATACCTGTATGATCACTCACACATCTCTCAGGTGCCAAACAAAGGAGATTTGGTTTTTGAACAAGTCACTTCTCAAACAGTTTTCCAGTAAGAATTAAGTTCAAGGACCAAGGTTCCATTGTATTTTTAATGTTGTCACGATCACCAATAACTTATCCCATCTTGTTTATTTTTTTTTCCATGTGTGGCCTCTTTAACATCTTGGGTTGCAGTATTTTAAAGAGAAAATAATTCAGGTCTTCTAAAACAATTTTTTTTCTTGAAACTAATTTAGAAATTTCATAATGTGTGTGTGCTTCCTGAGCTTCCTTCTGAGGTCAGAGAAGAAAATATCCTCTTCCCTGGAAGGGCTATACTATCTTCCCTTGGACTGTGAAGTTTGCCCTACCTCATGCCACCAGTCTCAGGAAAAAGGAGGCTACCAGAGAACTTGGCAAACGGTGGAGAGGTAAAAAGTCCAAAGGATTAAATTTCCAGGTCCCAAAATAACCCCTAAGTACTGCTGCCACCTCCAAATCAGGCCCTGCACGCTTCTTCACGCTGGCTGAGTGCCTCTCTCTGGCTCCATCCCAGGAAGCCCCGTGGAGCTGTGGATGACCCCTGTCTCCACAGAACAGCACCCTACAGAGGTCGGGGAGTACAATGAATCAGAGGTGGACGTGCAAGGTGCATTTTGTCTCTTACAGTGTTACCATTCTTTCTTTAATGTCCTCTCCTCCCTCTTCTCCTCCACCTGCCTCTAGTTTCCTGGAAGCCCGCAGGACTGTGTTTCATAAACCTCAGTGAGCACCATTGTCATGATCTCTCTGCCCCCATGCTCAAATTCCACCTGCACTGTTTCTTTAAGTTAGCTCACTTTTCACTTAAATTTTTAAAGACTACTTATTAATGTGTGCTTTGAATTTAAAACCAGTTTCACTTGCCATAAAAAGAAGACTCACATATAATTAAAACAAAAAGTGTATAGTGGTGGAATTTGAGTTGGATAGGGTAGCTTGCTGCAAGCCTTGTGCCTGAGTCCTGCTCTGCTAGGTTAAAGGATGGTGAAGAAGTGTTGAGGACATGCCAGCATCAGTGAGACCTGCTCCTTAAAATAGACTGGTAGGGGTGTCCAACGTGTGACCCCCTGGGGCCACATGCAGCCCAGGATGGCTGTGAATGCAGCCCAATACTTGAAACATTATGAGGGTTTTTGTGATTATGTGTCGCAATGTATTTGATGTGTGGCCCAAAACAATTCTTCTTCCAGGGTGGCCCAGAGACACCAAAAGGTTGGACACCCCTGAATAATAGAGTCTGGAAAGGGGACCAACAAGAAAGCAGTTTTCTCATCTTATTGTTAAATACCGTGTGTGCATATAACTTAAGCATTTCCCACTTTGGATATGCTGCTCTGAGTTTTAGACTTAATAAGTTTGTGGAACTCCGACAGACGCCATCCAGCCATTTCCTTCAAGTACTCAGTACTCTATTCACTAACTATGCTCAAAGACTTTTTGCACACTTTTCCTCATTATTTGCGCACAGCTTTGACCAACTACCACAGACAATATTCGGGATATAAGACTCTCTCCAGTGGGTTACAAAACTTGGGGAGTGAATGGGTGTTTGGATACCACCAAGCCCAAATGTAGACCCTCTCCACTTTCCTGAAAAGAGACTTGGGGTTCCCAGGCGGAGGGCGATTCGCCCAAGGTCACAAGGTGGGAGGTCTAATTTTCGCGTTCCTGCAGGCGGGAGCACACGTTATCTAACCCCCTAGGAAGCAGAGAAAAGGACGCCTAGCTGACGCCGGACCCAAGTCCCACCTGCTTGTTGATTGCAGTTGTCATGGCAGCGGCTCTTGTCCCCGCCTCGCCGTTGTGACGTAAGGAAACCAGCGTTCAATGGGAAAGCAGATCTGCGTCACGCTCCGCCTTTCCCGGCGGGCAACGCCTTCGGCGTCCTGAGAGCAGCGAGAACGGTGCGGGGCGAGCGGGCAGGAGCTCCAGCCTCGGCTGCGGCGAGTTACACCGTTTCCAATCTGTCCGCGTCCGCCGCCGCCGGAGCCGGAGCCAGGATGTTCAGGATGCTGAGCAGCGGTTTTGAGGATGACCCCTTCTTCTCGTGAGTGTCAGGGGCCCGTAGCCCGCGTTCGCGCGGGAATTTAGGGATTTTCGAGGGGAGCTATTTTAAGGGGAAAGCGAGTTTTAGAGGGGGAGAGTTTTTTTCGGAGGGTTCCAGGAGGCAACTTGAGGAAGAGGAGGGCTTGGGGAATGAGAAGAGGAGAAGACTAGGGGTGTATGAGAAGGGAGAGGAGGAATTGGGGGCGCAGTGAAGCAAGAGGGTTTGGGGCCGTGGGGTGAAATGAGAAGGATTTGGGGGCGCGGGATGGGAAAGAACTTGGGGACATGGCAGAGGGGGCGAGAGGGATCGGGGGCGCGTGAGGAGAGGTCCGAGCAGCCCTCCCCTGCCCATTCCCCCCACCCGAGCAGCTCTTCCCTGTCCCCCCAAGCTGCTCTCAAGTTGGCCAGACCTCACGCACCCCACTTTGCTTTCCACCTTCGGAGTGACGCCTTCGCAGCTGCAAGGACTTTGCAGGTGACGGTAACTGCCACCTCGGTGAAACTTCTGGTGAGAATTTTGCATGCGCGCAGGATCCTTTCCACACCTGTTTTAGTTGCCAATGAGGGGTGAGGAATGTCCTTTAGGATTACAGTTCTTTGTAAAGGGAAAAGTTTTTAAAACAGCATTTTGAGTAATATAAGTCTGTATGCCAGCACAATAGAGTTGGAGAACTGTGCTGTCTCTCGCCTCCAAGGGCTTGGAAGTTGCCATGTGCAATGTTTGTTTTCTTTCTTTGCTCTGTTACAAAGCTAGCCTTGTTTGGGAAGGGACTCTGCTTTCTGTCAGAAGTACAAATAGGTCAGCGAAGCAGAGAGAGGGTGCATTTAAGACCGCAGGTAACAAGTGCCAACCCTGTGAACGGTTCCAAATGAAAGAAATAATGGGATGCCTTAGGAAGATAATACTCAGAAGTTAATTACTTGTTTCGTTATGATCTAGATTTCTGGTTTATTTTTAATTCTTGCTTTGGCGATTATATAAAAATAATGGTATAATGACATCTCTTAGGACAGGAATATTTGTGATACTTTTGCCCAAATGTTTTGCCAGTTTGAATTTTGACTAGGTGTCCTAATTTAATTTGATTGCTTAAATTCTCTCTCTAGGCAACTTAGGGATTTTTTTAAGGTTAAAATGTTAACAACTTACTACATAAATTTTTTTAAAGGAAAATACTGGTTTAAATTGTGTCAGTACTATTTTAAAACTAAATAACATCAAGGTAATAATTGAAAGAATAATTAAAAGTAGAATAGATAAAATTGTTAATAAGAAAATTATTAATATTTTATTCTAAAGGTTATTCATTATAATTAAGGTGTATATGGACTCAGGCCAAGTAGTTATGCTGTTTTAGTTCACTTGATTACAGTCTGTTGGGACATTTACAATCAGTGTGTCATTTTAACAGATTTCAAATTTTGTGTTATGATTTGATCTTTTAAAAGCTTCTGAGAGTAAGGACTAAATATATCCATAGATTAGTTGAGCTGTAGGCGTGGTTCTTATGTAATTGTGACAGCAGTACTATGCGTTAAGAAGATTATGATAGACAACTTTTCTGTTTTATGTCCTTGATTATATCAAAAAGAACAATGGCCTTAACTGAACTGTGAATGTATAATTAGTACCTTCTTTAAAATGTCTAGCAAAAGTGTAATTTAAACTCTTGGGCGACTCTTTTTGAGCTAAGGCAATGAACCCAAGAGTCAGGGTCAGAAATAGTAACAGACCACAAATAGTAGGCACGCATCAAAGAACACTCTTCCCCTGGGCTCAGCTTGGGCAGGACCATCAGTTAATAGGCTGTAGGTCTTTCAGTCGTCACTCTCTTTGGCCTTCTTCAAGTGTAGGGAGCTATCTCATAAAAATTTAGGCTACAATTATGTACTTAACTTTATAAAACTGATTCATGGTGAACTAATTTCATTGTTCCACAATTAATGATATAGAGAGTAAACATATTTTGGGGAGGTTAGAGAGAAAAAGAAGGTGAGTTTATAGTTATTTCAAGTGATATCATTTGATGTACCCCTTGTCCCCCAACCTCAAACAAAATGATTTTACATTACTTAAGTCCAGCATAAGGAATTCACCCCATCTCTTATACAAACATTATCTCTATTGCTGACGTTGTGTGTCTGGTCATTGGGCTCCTTAGTGGGTAGTTTAATGTCTGACATGTAGAAAGTATTCAATAAATATTGTGTAATAACAACCTGGTGTCGTTTACTTTCTGTCATCTAGTTAATCTGCTATTTATTGCTGAAAGTGATTATTTGCATTCAACAGATGCCACTGTGGATGTTGGCACTTTGTAATTTGAACACAACCATTTTCTAAATAACCCATCAGTTGAGAATCAAGGATATCAATATAAGTAATACCATATTACTTTACTAATCATTCAAAAGTGAGATGAAAACTATATATACTTCTTAGATGTAACATTAGAATTATTAAATAATTTGAGACTGGTGAAATACTGTGGTCAAATTGTCAAATGCTTAAAATATCTGAGTGAAAAAACAAACTGTGGTTTTGAATTCAAGTATATCCATTTTAATGTTTACCTTCACATAATAACATGTATTAAATGTTTCATCAGAAAATTAAAGAGAAACTTTAAAAGTGATATTTTAAAGTTCATTTTATTATATATTTGGGGCTTTTTATATTGGCATCTTTTTATGTTTCTGAGCTGAAGTTATTTCAGTGAAAATTGACTCACAGCACACCTTTATATATACCTTGTAAATAAATAATACTTGTAATTTGGTTAAAAAATACACAGGCTAAAAAAAAAAGCCCTGGTACTTCCTGGCATGCAATTTTTACTCAAGAATACTACTTTCCCCTCCCGTTAGAAGTAAAAGTACTTATGTATGGGCAGGAAAATTAATTTGAGGTTAAAGTGATTTTGGTATCTATGGTAAACCCTAAAAAAGTTGATTATTTACTGTAAAAGTTTACATATATCTAGTACAATCTATAAATTTCTACTTTGTACAGGAACATGAGTCTCCTGAGCTGCAGACATAGAATTCTGATTGTACACGTCTACAAAGAATACCTACGTTACCACTCACACGCTATTAGACGTTAAAGGCTCAGAAGCAGGTTTACATATCAATCAGCCTTATTTTTAATCATAAATCATTATGTATCTTGGTCAAAGAACTGCATATATTCATAGGAGGTTGCTTTTTCCATCTCCTTGGTCTCCACAGAAGCTAAAACTTGTTTCTCTAATCTCTATTTAATTTTTTAAAATTTTTACTTACTTTGCACTTTGGAGGTAATTGAGGACACTTCTTTGGTGTAGTCATTGACTGAGTTGAAAGTAACTGTATTCCATGTACAGGGAAGGTATTGACTGATATTTTCTTGATTGAGAATATTGTCATAGCAGGAAATAAGACAAAATTACTCTATTAGATAAGTTTTTGTGAATAATGTTTGAGGTTACTTACATGTTTGTTTTCAGACATACACATAGTTTGAGGTAGAATCTCCATAAAGATGATTTAGTTTGGTGCTAATTAGTATTCTAATTATAATCACTTAATAAAGGTAGCTTGAGAGTACTCAGCTAAGATTTAAAGTTTTGATTTTCAGGATCCCTTTTATGCTAAGACTCCTAACAGCTACTGTGAGTTTTAGCACTTAAAAATTTGTTCTCCGAAATATTTTTATATAGATATTTCTTATAAATGAACTTTGCCTATTTCAGAATGTCACATATGATAGAATGAAGCACTATAAACCTTGAACTGAAAGAATTTCTAAGGTAGATTTGATTTGGGGCAGTTTTTGGGTAATTAAGGAGCCCAATATACTGATGACATAGTTGCTGGGCCAAGGAATGCCATTGGATAGGATCTGATCATATCATAATGCTTGGTTATATCCATAACCGTTGTAAATATCCATACAAAGGTAGGGGATACTTGCAGGATGGGAGGGGGGCCATAGTTGTTGCTGCAGCTCACTTAGTATCAAAGGTTTATGCTGGACCACCATTTCAAACTGCGTTTCTAATCACTGGGAGACTAGAATTGCCTATAGCAATGTAATTCATTCTTCGAGTTTTCCTTAGGTTTCTACCATATGCTCAGCCCTCTGGATTCTAACATATATTTGTAGGAGTTATGGCCCGTGCCCTCAAGTTTTCTTAGGAATCTTATATGTGTTATTTCTAGCTTCAAAACTTGGATCACCAGAGGCATTTCCTTTATGGACCCATACACCTCACTGAAACTAGAGAGCATTTCATTAGGATCCAGAGAACCTTAATCTGCTGCCTAAGCTTTTGCTACACTAGGGATAGTGAGTGGAAGGAAGGGGTTTTCCCTGGTGAATGGGACTGCCATGTCAATCTGAGACCCTTATGTAATAAGTAACATGATGGCTTTTACTTAGGAGCATAAACATCTATATTCTTGTACAGGCCAAGTGAAATTGTAAGCTGCCCCCACCAAATATATCTGTGCATGTGGATACATACATATGTATATATATGTATTTGAGTCTTAAAAATGGGACTTATTCTGAAGTGAAACTATACCAGCCCTTAAAAAATTTTTATGTTGAAATTCGTAAGAGACCCAGAATCAATTTAGGAGCTAAAATTTTTTGTGGGGGGAGGGAACAATAATTAATTTTTCCTAGCTTGTCATGGGTTAATAATATGGAGTAGAAAAACTATTTTTAGTATCAAATGTCATTATGTTTGGCTATGGTTTGTGTCAGTGGTCTTGCAAAAAGTAGTGTGGCCATCATAATAGAATAAGTAAATTTTTCTTGAAAGAATGAAACACTAATTTACAAAAGAGAACAATATGAATAGATAGAAACATAAAATGATTAACTTCTCACCTGATAAACTCTGTATTAGGTTAAATTAAAAACATATTAAAACAACTGTTTACTACCACAAGAGATTTTTGGCTTTGATAAAAAAGAATTCAGGCTAGAATAAGAGGAATTGTCAAGTCTTT